ACAGTTGTTATAACAACACGACAACTATAGCAATTGGTCTGTTGTGGTGATTCTATGGTTGCCATGGCAACACAACAATTATAGTAATTGGTCTGTTGTGGTGATTCTACGGTTGCCATGGCAACAAAACAATTATGGTTATTGGTCTGTTGCGGTGACCCTACGGTTGCCATGGCAACACAATTATAGTAATTGATCTGTTGTGGTGATTCTACAGTTGCCATGGCAACATAACAATTATGGTTATTGGTCTGTTGCGGTGACCCTACGGTTGCCATGGCAACACAACAATTATAGTAATTGATCTGTTGTAGTGATTCTACAGTTGCCATGGCAACACGACAACTATAGTAATTGAACTTTTGTGGTTATTTTAAGGTTGCTATGGTAACAATGTAATCTGATGGTGATATTTTTATGATTTTGAAAAAAAAAACATGTCATTTTGACTGTGCAGTGTATTGTAAGAGCATGATTAGCAGAACTACGCTATATATGACCAGGACATGTGTAAAGTGACATAAGGGGTCTCCAAATTTAGGCATAAGATTCATTTTGTCCTCCAGGGTCACAAACATTAATATATCTGAATATATCAATGACCTGTAGTGTATGTGTTTAGAAGAGAAGCTAGTGAATTATTAAACGCCACTGTGTGTGTGAGTGTGTGTGTGTGTGTGTGTAATGTACACAGCTCTCAGGTACAGCACTCTTCAGTCTGCTTCTGACCACACATTTGTTTGCTTGAGCCCCAAATTATAGAGGAGAAACTGTTGAGCTGACACTGAAATCATTCCTGCTTTATAAGAAGCACAGACGCTTATATCAGACTCAGACTGATTCTGTACCTTATTTCTGTCCTGAACCACGAGCACTTTGCCATTGGATTCATCCAGAACAGCACCTTAACACACACACACACACACACACACATGAAGAAACCATTAATGAGGAAAACAACAGACAGGGACCAGTGTGTGTGTGCGTGTGTGTGTGTGTGAGTGAGAGAGAGAGACAGAGAAAGAGAGAGAGAGAGAGAGATTAAGTGTGTACATTTGTGTGTGTGTGTGTGTGTGTGTGTGTGTGTGTGTGTGTGTGTGTGTGTGTGTGTGTGTGTGTGTGTGTGTGTGTGTGTGTGTCTGTCTGCTTGTGGATGTGTGGTTTTTTTATGACCTACTCCGGAACTCAACAACTTCCTCTTTTCCCTGTGGTTATTCAGCCATAACACACACACACACACACACACACACACACACACACACACACACACACACGAGCGTGCATGCACACACACACTCAAAATAAAATAAACAAAAACTTTTTGAGGAAAATTTATTGCTTAATGACTTTAGTTCAGATAATAGATGAAGGGCTGATGAATAATATATATAATTAATCAATCCATCAATGTAAATAAGTAATTAAATTGCATCATTACACAACTGATCTGCATGTTGATTTCTGCGGTTATTAACAGAAGTAATCCCTTCAGCTTCTAACAATGAGTAAATCTGTGGTTGTAATAGAAGCCGAGAGGGAACTGGAAATCACACAGAAAGGTTGGGTAATTATTAATGGGTAATCTGGGTAATTATTATTCATTGTTAAACTATTCAAACATGGAATTTCAGCAGCTTTAATCAAACACACACACACACACACACACACACACACACACACACAAACACACACACACACACACACACACACACACAAACACACACACACACACACACACACACACACACACACACACACACACACACACACACACACACACACACACACAAACACACACACACACACACACACAAACACACACACACACACAAACACACACACACACACAAACACACACACACACACACACACACACAAACACAAACACACACACACACACATCCTGAAGGTGATCTCAGGACACTGTCTGGGCATCTTTCTGGGCATGTTAAAACATGTCTGTGTGTGTGTGTGTGTGTGTGTGTGTGTGTGTGTGTGTGTGTGTGTATGTTTGTAAGAGATCCAGCTGAACGGCGCCACCTGCTGTTTCACAGAAGTGTTTTTCTGCTCCTCTACTGTCTTTCCTCTGATGTTGTCAACTTTATTTTACTAATGTGGTTATAAATATCATATTCATTCTTATTAAATAGAAAACATTTAGGCCTCTTTTAATTATTTAACAATAAAACAATCAAATAACTGGAGCTCTTTGTACGTCAGTTTTAAAAATGTTTGTTTTTCCCTTTATTGTGCTCATGTTGCACTGATTCCTGCTTCTAGTTGTTTTGTTCTTTTATATGGTTTCTTGCTGTTTCTTGCTGCCACAGCGGAATGAACCGCCAACTTATCCAACACATTTTTACACAGCTGATGCCATTCCAGCCGCAACCCACGCGCCAACCCAGACTCTGCTCAGACTAAAGTCTCATCACTGAACAGAAATAATGTCCAGTATAGAATATAAAGTCCTGCTGCAGTGGAGACAGAATGAATATTGTGTCTGACTCCATCATGAGCTTGGAGGACTGCATCCATACATCTCTGACATGACTCACATCACTGATTAATAAAGTCATCTGGAATGAAGAAGAAAGCTTCAGCAGGATCCCAGAGTTCATCAAGAGTCTCTGTGTTCATCTTCAACACCTCCTCCTTCATCAGCTCAATAATGTTGATGTCTGGTGACTGGGCTGGCCAATCCTGGAGCACTCTCTGCTTTCAGGAGCTTTGATGTGGAGGCTGAAGTATGAGCAGGAGCGCTATCCTGCTGGAGAATTGTCCCTCTCCTGTGGTTTGTAATGTAATGGGCAGCACAGATGTCTTGATACCTCAGGCTGTTGCAGATCTCTCGCACGCCCCCATACTGAATGACCCCAAACCATGATGTCTCCTTCACCAAACTTGACTGATTTCTGTGAGAATCTTTGGTACATGCTGGTTCCAGTAGGTCAACTATTTGAACTAGTGCTTAAATAAGCAAAATCTAGAGGCCTTCGCCTTTCATAAAAACACGTCTGACACCACATGATCAACTAGAAGTCAAGTTAGTATTTACTGTTCCTAAAACTTGGAGAAGCCACAAGACTTTTGTCAGGTAGTGTGTGTTAGTCACTGTTTACAGGTTTTCAATTTTCTTCAAAATCTCCTCTTCAGTGTCCAACAGAAGAAATAAACTCATAAAGGTTTGGAAACACTCGAGGGTGAGTAAAGAGTTTGTACATCTTAATTTTTGGGTGAACTATCCCTTTAAATGGACTCTATATAACTGTACTATAATACACTCTACTACAGTATGATTCAACATTATATAGTACTGACTATAGATGACCACAGTATTTCTTCATGTGGGTTTTTCCTATTTAAAGCTGTTGTTGTCTTACCAGCGACTCCGACCTGGTGTGTGGCGAATGCTGGCAGCCGGTTTTGCCCCTCCGCGAGCCACACGCTCAGAACAGCCTGATCTCCGCGCGCGTGGTGGAAACTGAAGCCGTGACGTGCAGCAGCAGAACACACACGAGACTGAGAGATGGGGACATGGAGCCATACTGCAACACGGCCTTCTGAACGCCACTGATGCAGAGACACTGACACACACGCACACACACACACACACACACACACACACACACACACACACACACACACACACACACACACATTTACAAATATTATTATTCACTTATAGAAATTTACATATTTATAACACATTTTAGTTTCATATTTAGATATTAAAAAACAGGCCACACATTTGTTTTCAAATATAAAAGCAAAAACATAAAATCATGCCAAACACCACAGAGATTCAATGAGTTAAACTGTTCTCTGATATCTACATAGTAGGTGCTTAGGTAAGTTTAAAAAGTATCCAGAAATGGTTTTATATGCTCATTTATTACTCCATAAAAAGCCCCTACAAGCAGAAGCTCTATGTTGACCATTCCAAATATGGTCAATAGAGATCAAAGATGCCCCAAAGTAAGGCCCGCTGGCCAAGGTGGCCCACTGTAACCTTTGATTTGGCCCAACATCGCATCTGAGAGGAGAGTGAGTATGATGGAGAGGTTGTGGGGAATGCCTTTAACACAGAGATCTTCATTTCTAATTTGACGTAACACCCAAATAGATAAAATAAAAAGGTTAGGTAAAAAGCTTTTGCGAGTTTTAATCTCAACTTTATATTTTATCTACAAGTTTTTTCATTCAGAGGCAAGAACGGGCTTTCATACCGCTGCTGTAGGCTCAACACTTGCTGAATTAACTACTTTAAAAGAAATCCATTGTTTTGATGATGTTTTGATGAATGAATAATGAATAATTAAGCCTAAAGATGAGCTTTTATAATTTAAAAAATACATTGGCAAAAAAACACTTCTCATCAGATGGTGTATTATTCTCGTACCCTTCAGCAGATCACTGAACTCCTCCTCGCTGATGTCCGGCGGAAAGTCTCGCACCGTCACGCCGCCAAACCGATCAACATCTCCGGCCAGCAGAGGCGGACAGAGCCGCTCCTCACAGCCGGAGCAGAAGCGAGCAGAGCCAGCAGAGACCAGCCGGAACTTTCCGAAAACAGATGAGGCCCTGGAGGAGCCAGAAGTGACCCTAAAGAACCCAGAAGACACCCTGCACAACCCAGAGGAGACCCTACAGAACCCGGCTGACATGATCCACAAAACCATCATCGATCAAACCAAAACAACATAAGAACGAGCGCGCCGTAAACACTGCAGTACTCGCGCACAGGAAAATGCAGAGCAAGACTAGTTTATTTCTATAGCACACTTCATTCATAATGGTAATTCAAAGTGCTTTACTTAAACAAGAATAAAAGTATTAAGTATAAGAATAATAAAGAAAAAAGTGTAAGAAAATAAAAACTACAAAGAATAAAAATGATTAAAAACAGATCACAATGTGTTAAAACTGGTTTTAATGAATGCATAAACATTTATAATTATTTCTGTCTTTTTTATTCCTTTATTTATTTTGCATAAGAAATTTTTTTGCTGCTTGTTCCAATTACAATGGGGAGAAGGGGGTCAACTTTTTCAGTAATGTTAGAGTAAAACATGCTTCAGTGAATCAAATCTATGTACTAATTTAAATTACATATAATTTATTAATGAAATGTTTTTAAGGTTTCAGTGTTTTGAGGAATATTTAGTGTTTCCTGACTTACAGACACTCTGATCAGCTATTTCTGCAAACTGTGGGTCAAACTATACAAACTATGCGTCTCATCCTTTACTATAATGAGTCTAATATTTCACTTTTAGGCTATATGTAGATAAAAACTGATACAATTACACTAACTTAATCAATTTGCATTGGGATGACATGATGGGATTGTATGGAACCCTGCATTTTTACAGTGTGTTGCAATGTTTGTACGACCAGGAAACATGAGAACCCTCATTAACCACATGTCATGCTAACACAAAACATGATGACAAGAACATAAACCATCACAGCAAAACCACACCAGTGCAAGTAAACTTACAACAAAGCATTTATCAGCACAATACTTCATTATTGTATTGCCTCCATCTAAATGAACCTATAATTAAACTGTAAAAATGCAAGGCTGTTTGACTAATTATTATCAAACAAACGCAATGATATGTTGTTTTAGGTATATTTGCAGAGCAAAAACAGTTATGACCATACTAATACATTTATCTGTTAAATAAATGATATGAAAATAGACTGTATTAAATGAGCTTGTGGATTTTGACTGTAAATACAGTTTAAATTTGAAGAATTTTTTAATTCAATTCAATACTAATTCATCTTAATGTTTTCAACACAAGAGCGTTAATACTGCTGTATGATATTAAGACAAAGACAATGAAGGAAAAATAAACAAGAGTAGCGAAAACAACATTATACATCAGGTAAAACAGAAGATCTGCTGCTGGCCTCATGAATCCTCGTGCTCGTCTCCAGATCTGCTCATTCTCACATTCTCATCTTCTGCTTTCTTTCCTAAATTAACCAAATCATCATCATCATCATCATCACCAGTTCTTCACATCTGCACTACAGATCCATAATATTGATGATCATAAGTGTGTCTGACCTGACGTGCGTCTCATGTAGAGGTGAAAACCTGCTAACAGACCCAACAGAAGCGTCATCTGAAGACTCCAGAGCACCACAAACACCACAGACACTGAAGACTCTGAAGAATAACACAAACACATCAATCAATCAATCAATCAATCAATCAATCAATCAATCAATCAATGAGTAAATCAATCATTCAGTCAAAGAATAAGTCAAAGCCTATCAATGCATTATTCAATCATCACTCATTTAATCAACCTGTCAGTCAATCAGTCAACCAATCCACAAGTCAATCAATTGTCTAGCAATCAAACAAATTAATCAATAATACAGTTAGTGTGGTGCTGATATGTGTGTATGCGCACTAGTGCAGTGGAGTGTGTGTGTAACATGAGCGTATAGGGAATCTGATGAGCTTCTGTACCTTTAATATTCACCTGTAGATCTGCTGTAGGTATTAGTGTGCCAGCAGAGTTAAAGATAAATAATGTGTAAATCCCAGAATCTGCTCTGGTCACTGAGTTTATTATCAGAGTCCCATTAATGACCGTCACATCAGGCCTGTTCTTATACAGATCACAGTCACTCTTGATTGTGTCATTTTTTATTCTACAAACTGGACCATGTGCTGTGCTGTTTATTCTCTTCTTCTTATGTACTTCATATATTCTAGTGTTCTGCACCAGCTGCAGACTGAGTTTATCTCCAGGAGCTGCATTACAGGGATCAGACTGATCAAACCAGCAGTCAACATCCACACCTGAAACACACACACACACACACACACACACACACACACACACACACACACACACACACACACACACACACACACACACACACACACACACACACACACACACAAGAAATAATGAAATGTCAGACCAAACACCACATGCCTGCAAAACGCATCTGAGTCAAAAGATGTCGAGTAAACACATAAACCAGACAAACCCAGACTGCTAGAGACATGTATCAGTAAGAAAATGATTATAATTTTACACTGGAATGAAATGAACATGTGCTAAAAACTGCATTGCAAAAAACAACAACAAAAAAAACAGCTTTTCTTACGCTGAGTTTGTGTCTTGTTTCTAGTCCGAATATCTAAAAACTCTTAAATCAAGAAGCTTTTTATAGAAAAGCAGAAAACATAGTGTTGTTTTCACAAATAATGAGTCAAAATAAAGAGAGTTTTTCATTAAAACAAGCAAAATAATCTGCAAATATGGGGAAAGAGTAATAATCTATTGTCAAAAGGAAAAACAAGATTATTTTACTCATTTGGCTGATTATTTTGATTATTTTAAGGTAAAATGATTAATATGTTATTAATGATATGCATAATATGTTCCTCCAATTACATCTTTACAGAAATGTTTATATACATGTGCATTGCCTGTGTTTAAAGAGTATTTTATTTTACAGAAATTGAAAATGTATAATATATTTAAATGTTGATTGATGAATATGTACCCGCTCTTCATTTTTGGCCTGTTTATTTGTTTGTTTGTTTGTTTGTTTTTCACTCTTCTCCTGTTTAATCCTGTTGTTAAATTGTGAAATGCTTTAGTTGTATAATCAAACTGTACATGCTTGTTCTTTATAATAAAGCCTTTAAAAAAACAACAAATATACACAGTTAAAGAGACCAAAAACATCAATACCAGATCACAGACTTCTCCAAAACATCATCATCATCATCATCATCATCATCATCATCATCATTATCATCATTCATTCATTCATTTTCTTTCAGCTTAGTCTCTATTTCAGCAGTCACCACCATGGAACGAACCGCCAACTATTTATGTTTCACACAGTGGATGCACTTCCGGCTGCAACCCAGTACTGGGAAAATTATCATCGTCATCATCATCATGATGATAAAAATGTGAAAGAGACTCACCGGCAGCAGTTTGCAGGAGCATCAGTGCATGAATCAGCAACATTTCTCTAATCATCTCCAGCAAAAGAGTCTGACTGTAAAGAGTCTGTGCTCACTTCACATGTCTGTATTTATAACTGCTGCACACGTCTTGTCAAAAAGGGAAGTTGTGTTCTTGAGAAGTGTATAGGTTTAGCATGAGACACCAAAATAAGTAACTCACAGACACATTTTATTTCTCTTGCTGATGGTTTTCTTTGTCTAATGTTTCGACAAACTTGTTAAAGATATTCAAACTTTAGTATACTTAATATAAGCTGTTGCATCCTTAAGTTTCTCTTGTAACATAAGGTCCAGAATGAAGACACTGTAACACAAGTAAGAATGTCTGTGCAGGTATAAAATACTGCTGACAAATAAACATCTCTTCTATATTACTCTGTTAATAAGCTGTTTATGTATGTATTCTGTTCATGTATTTATTTTCTGATTTATTTACTTCTTGATCTATTTGAATGTAATTATTTAAGCATTTATTTGGCTTTGTTTGTTCTTTTTAGATATTTATTTTAAATGTCATTACAAGTAAATAACTAAAACTAATATTAAGGTTAATTATTTCTTTATTCAAATATAGTTTGTTTTTTGGGTTTCCTCCAGGTGCTCCGGATTCCCCCACAGTGCAAACACATGCGCTATAGGGGGATTGATCGACTAAACTGGCAGCAGTGTATGAGTGTGTGAGAATAAGTGTGTATGGGTGTTTCCCAGTACTGGGTTGCAGCTGGAATGGCATGCACTGTGTAAAACATATGCTGGAATAGTTGGCGGGCCATTCCACTGTGGCAACCTCTGATAAATAAGCAGAAGGAAAACGAATGAATGGATGAATTTTAACTCTAATTTATTTATTTAATTAATAAATAAATTTATTATTGAAACAAAAAAAACATAAAAATATATTTAATATAATAAATAAATAAAAAATAAGTAAAACAAATGTTAAGTTTATTGTTTTAATTTTGTGTCTTCAAGGTTGTTTAGGTAACTTTTAAGTGCACTATATTATGTGTTTTACGGTTCCTAACGGGAGGAGCTGAACTTTGACATCCGGAAGTTTATACACACACACACGTGGGAAATGTGTATGTGTGTATTTGAGTTTAACACACTTGTTATGGTAAACCCAGCATCATGTCATCCAGTAAGAAAAGCAAAGGGAAAAAGCGGATGAGTGAAGGAGAAACGGAGAAAGCCGGTGATGAAGCGGAGGGAAACGGCGGACTGACGGTTACAGACTTCATAGACAGAGGTAACGGACACTGAGTGAGTGAGATAGGAGTAAATCTAAGTTTACTTAAGCACATTCAGACTTTCCTTTATTAATATCAGTTCAAAAATATTGTTCGGAAAATCTAAATAAATCACATTAGCAGCCGAAGCACAACAGTGTTCACTGTCAATAAAATAGTGCTGATTTGAACTCATTTTTACCTGCGATTCCAGACCCAGTATTCCTAATAGAGTGGTAATAAACTATTATAATTGTAATAATTATGAACTGCTGTAATTATAAGCTTACCATAGCATTAACCACAGGATAAAACCATTTTTAAAAGAGTAAAATCAGCACTAAAACGGCCAGTATGTGAATCAGAGACCGAAAGAGCTTTATAGCCAGGCATGTTCACACATACGAGGAGTTTGTTTTGGTGTCAGAGCTTCTACAGTGCAACAGCATTACAGAGACAGGACAAAACACAATCCAGTAGTGAATGCAAAAATATACTAATTGACAAGTGCATGTCGAGCTATATTACGATATACAACGTTATTTGTGCAGCTGATATGAGAATATGTTATAAAATATGTAATAATAATAATGCAGTAGTTTGTGCACATCTGATGTCTTTGTGAGATGTGTTATACAGTGTGAGCTGAATCCTGAATAATGTGTGTGTGTTTCAGCGGAAGATAAATCTCCTGCACGCTGGCGCTCGTATCTGGCTCAGATGAGTGTGAACACCATGAAGAACCTCAACATCTGCATCGGGCGCCCAGTGCTCATCTCCAGCAGTAATGGACGGCAGGAGGTGTGTGTGTTGTGTTTGTGTGTATGATGGTTTGTATGGTTGTTTGTATGTGCTGTATATAATGCTGTGTGTGTATGTGTGCAGGTGTGTGTGGCGTGGCCGGTGTGTCAGTTTCCCTCTCGGCGTGTGGGTCTGCAGTCTAGTGTCCAGCAGAGTCTGTGTGTGTGTGCTGGAGCTGCTGTCAGTCTGCTGCCCATCACTGGAGCCCTGCTGCAGGCCACACACATACAGCTCAGACTCAGGTAACGCATCACACACACACACATACAGCTCAGACTCAGGTAACGCATCACACACATACAGCTCAGAATCAGGTACCACAACAGACCATAATCATACACACACGCACACACACAGCAGGAACATTCAGTGCACACACAAATCAACACTGGCTGTTAGTATTAAGTGAATTCGACTCCAAACATGGACAGAAAACCCAAACTTTTACAGTGATGAGAACAATATCCACACACATCACTTGGGAAATATTTGATAAATAATCGATATTTCACATGAGGGCGGGTAATTTAGTTTTCAGCTGTAAAATGATGAATATTTGTGTATTTCTGACTC